CTGTCCTCTCGCATGTCCTCTCTGATCAATCCCGATTGTAGGCCTCCCAGATGGGGTCCGAGTAGTTGGGGTCGGCGGATAGCGCGGCATCGCTGATGAATCGGCGATGCGACTCGATGAAGGGCCCGAATTTGTCCACGCTGGCGTCGCGGATGCGTCGCAGACGTCGCCGATGCATCGTTGATACATCGCCGATGCATCGAACATTCGTCGCCGATACGGCGCAATCTTCCGACCCCAGCTTTTCGGACCCCATCCAGGAGGCCTTTGGATTTGGAGATTGCCAAGGGGGTTCGTTGCATACGTTCGGTTTCATGCGTACGGCCCCGCTCGAGCATCTCAAGAGCAGACATAAGAAGGGCACCGGCGCCTATTCCCTTGGTGCGAAACGAACACTCTTGAATTGGTCCTTGTTGCAGCTCCCGACGGATGATCGCGGCCTTGAGGCAGCAGAGGAACATATACCGCTACCGCTACTCAGTAGAGGACGAGTCACGACATTAGTAGTTCGCTTTCGCGTGGGGGTCCCTCCTCGCCAAGGCTGGACAATTTGTGCGATTGGAATCCGGGCGCGTCCGGGGATCAATTCTGAGTTGCCGCTATCTCGACTCGCTCTGCTTCGAGCTACCTGTCCTTCGTCGCCACCGGTGGATTCGCCCCGAAATTCTGGTCTGAACGCACCCCTGGAGGGGTGAGCAGTGATGGCGGTACCTCGTGCTCGTCCCACTTAGATCTTCTTCGGCCTCATGTGCAACGACAGGGGACCGACCCAAGGGGGGTGAGCATCGATCCCCAGGCGGAAGTCCTCCGCCTCCGCCTCCTCCTCCTCCGGCTCCTCCCCTGAGCCAGTCCGCCCTCCCTTTGTCGACCCGTCTCATCAGGGCTGGCCAACTTCAGGAGAGTAAGAGGTAAAATGCACGGGGAATTGACGTCCGAGCGAGGGCAAGACGCACACCCATACGCATAGAGATGACCGATGGGGGGCGTGGGTGCGTGTTGTCGGATGGGGGTCCCCGCGACCGCCCGCGCCCGTTCCCACAGAAAGTCCTCCTCCCTTTGACCCCCCCGTCGGTATGGGTGTCTCCTGCGATCCTGGCGTCTCATTCCCCACCATCTTGTGGTGTTGGTTGGGTCGTCGTTTTGAAGAGACAGCGCACCCATCATGATCGTCATCATCATTATCATCATCGTCATCGCCACCCATGTAGGCCTCCCTCTTTCGGCACACCTCTCACACGTTTCGTAGCCACATGAGGGCCCCACCAAAGGTCCCAGTGCGACCGCCCGGAGGCGCTCGCCACATCCAGTACAGCGTTTCGTTGCCCCATACGGAGCTCCACCCACGATCCCAGTGGGCCGTCCGCATGCGTCCGCCAAAACCAGTACAGCGCTTCAGGGCCCCAGGATGAGCCTCACCGAATGTCCCAGTGGGACCACCCGTATGCGTCCGCCGCATCTTGCACAGCGTTTCGAGGGTCAATAGGGAGCCCCACCGACGGTCGCAGTGGGACCGCCCGCATGCGCTCGCCACACCCAGTACGGCGCTGCGTGGCCCCAGAAGGGGCCCACCGAAGGTCCCAGTGGGACCGCCCGAATGCGCCCCCCCCACCCAGTACAGCGCTTGGTGGCCCCAAGTATCGCCGAAGGCCCCAGTGGCACCGCCCGCATGCGCCCCCCCCCTCCCCCCACATAGTACAGCGTTTCGTGGCCCCAATACAAAGCTCCAGCGAAGGCCCCAGTGGGACAGCCAGCATGCGCCCCCACCCACCCAGTACAGCGCTTCGTGGCCCCAATAGGGAGCTCCAGAGAAGGCCCCAGTGGCACCGCCCGCATGCGTTTCCACCACCCACTACAGCGCTTCGTGGCCCCATAGGGAGCTCCACCGAAGGCCCCAGTGGGACCGCCCCCTCCACCCATTTCGGCACGCCCCATCACGCCTTGCGTGGCCCACCGAAAGCGGCACCCGAGGCGCGTTATTCGCACTGCATATGGTAGGGCTTTTCGCCAGGATAGTGTTTTCGAGCCGGGCGTTCTCGTCTTTTTTCGGGCCCCGGGACCCCCGCAGATCGACCTGGTTCGAAACTTGACGCAGAAAGATGGGGCAAAGGATTCTGTGCGTGATTGTCCATACTGTTGCAATTCTTGTCGTTACGCCAGATCTCAGGGTCTGTAGTAGCTACAGCCCCAGTAGTTCGTCATTGATGAAGTTACAGTTGCAGTAGTCACTGACGAAAGAACTACAGTTGTCACTGACGAACGCACTGTAGTAGTTCGTTCGTAACGTGATAGTCACTGCAGTAGTCCCTCACGAACGAAACACAGTAGTTCGTTCGCCAGTGATCTGCGAGACCCCCTCTTGGACGCCCCCTGCTCCTTAGATTTCCCGCTCTCGCGTTGTGCTGCTCTCCCTGCTCCTCGCCCCTGCCCCTCGCCCCTGCTCCTCGCCCGCGCCCTGCCCTCCTCGCCCTGCTTCTGCCGCCCGCCCCCGAAATCTCGCGTCCGCCTCGCCCTGCCCGCTGCCGCACCGCTGCGCCGGCAGCCAGGAGGGGAACGTTGGCAGAACCACAAGCCAGAGCTGATTCTCCCATGAGGAAACATGTAAACATCTGGACCTTTCAACAATGAGTGCTTCATGAGGAAAAATGGTACGGTAGGTTCGTGTGGTGTCGACCGGCGCCGACCCGGCCAGCGGCCTTCAACGTTGAACGCCGCGGGGGGCCCAGAGTCGTTCGATGTGGAACGATTTGGACGTTCCGGAAACGGCCGATCGTTCAAGGTTGAACGATCCCCGCGGTGTCATGAACCGTTGCCGAAGTCGTTAGACACGAACTTGCCATAAACATCTGGAATTTTGGAAAGGGATTGCTTCATGAGGAGAAGTGTAAACATGTGAAAATGAAGGGGGGGAGCCGAAGACAACCCGAGACACCTGGACGGACATGGGGAAACCCTGGAGCCTGTGCCGACTTGCTTTCTATCCTTCCTGGCACCCCTCGGATGGAGCGCTCCCCGCCCCTCTGGCACCTGTGCCAATGTCTCGTTTGCGTCTCCCTGGGGCCCCTCGGGCCGCAGCGCCCGCCCCCCGCCCGCCCGCGGGCGCACGGCCGCGCGGGCCTCTCTCTGCCTCGGCGGCGGTGGGGCCGCGTCGGCGGGGGGAGGGCGCGGGCCGCGGGCGGGCCAGCCGGCTGCGGCCTGCGCCGCCGCCGCCTCCGGCCCGCGTGTGTGTCGAGCAGCGGCGTCGAGTCGGGCCTGTCCCTCCACAGGGGAAAGATGCAGAAATAGTCTAAAAATAATATGGGGACTATTTTTTAGTATTTCCGAGCATTTGGGGAGCACTTTTTTGCGTTTCGCCCAAAATCCCCCTGTAGGGGGACGGGCCCGACCTAACAGTAGCGAAGCGTCTTGGCCTGCCGATCGTCCCACCAAAGAAGATTCCAGGAGCTTTGTGTGGTTTCTGGGAGAAGTTCTCAGAACATTTCTGGCTGGGACTGTCTTGTTGTGACACATCGGGCTATGAGGTTCTCAGAACCTTTCTGGCTGGGGCTGTCTTTTTGCTGACACACCGGGCTTATGTTCTACGAACATGGGCCCTGTTCTTAGAGCATGATTGGGTTCTAAGAACATGTCGTGGTAGGCCTGTAGGAGTGCCGGGACGGTCGGTTCCTGCTCAAGCGCCGCCGCCTTCTCCGGCCCGTGTGTTTGCGGTGGCCCCTCCCCTGCCCGCCTCAGCCACGCGCAGCAGGGGGGTAGAGGGCGACGGCGGGAGGCTCCTTAGGAGCACCCCTGCCTCTCAGGAGGCGCGCGGCCTCGTCCGAAGACGTAGGGCTCGCGCCTTCTAGGAAGCGGCATCCTTCTAAGACGCCTTGCCCCCTCCCCCCTACCACCCTGTGAGCGCCGCCAACCTCCCTCCTCGTTTCCTGTCCCAACGACAACGACAACAACGAAGACGCCCTTCCCAGCTCGCCTCCTCTCCTCTCCTTTCGACTACGCGTACACGCTGGTCGTTGAGAGTAGGTGTGTTTGGATTCCCAGATCTCAATCTGCTTCAAGCGCATTCCTTATCCAAGAGTCGATCTGTTTTTGCAGTACTTTGTGTTTATCTGGGAGGGCTTGATCCCGATGTACTTGATGCTCATTCCTACTTTGTGTGTTTCCCTGCGTCTTCCGATCGACGTGCACGCGTAAAAGTGACCTTTCGCTCGAGTGACTTTCGGTGCGGGCTCACCGGGGCCCCCCGCCCCGATGGCCGAAAGCGCAGCGAAAGCAGCGGTCTGCGCGCTCCGATTCGGCCTCCTCGCGGCCCCCGAAGGCCGCGCACCAAACGTCGCTCTTGCCCAGGGCCACTCTTGCGTGTAGCCGATCCTCGCCTCCCACCTCCTCCTCCTCCTCCTCCTCCTCCTCCCCCTCCTCCTCCTCCTCCTCCTCCTCCTCCTCCTCCTCCTCCTCCTCCATCCTCCTCCTCCTCCTCCCTCCCTCCTCCTCCCTCCTCCCTCCTCCTCCTCCTCCTCCTCCTCCTCCTCCTCCTCCTCCTCCTCCTCCTCCTCCCGTCGTGGAACGCTCGCGAGGGAGGGGCCCCGGGGTGCTCTCGCCGGGCCCGGGGGACGTCAAGCGACGGTCCGGATGAGCATCCGATCCCGGGTAGGGGCTCCAGAGTTCGGGGGTCCGTCTTTCGAAGCGAAGCACGGCTTCGGAGCCTCAGGCCCACCCGTGTTGCGCGCGCGTGCCCGAGCCTTCGGCCAGTCGCCGCCCCCCCCACCCCTCCAGTCGGCCCGGACTAGCAGGCCGACCCTGCCAGCTCAGGGGTACCTTTGTGTCCTGTGCCTCGCGGCACGTGACTTCCTGCACTCCTACGGCGATGTGGCCCTCGGCAGGGCCTCGTGTCCTCTCGCGTGTCCTCTCCAATCAAGGCCGACTGTACGCCACCCCTCGCGTGTTCTGCGGTGCGCCGTCGCGGCCTGGGTGCTGCCTCTCCTCGGTGGAGAACCGTCGGGCGGCCTCGCGCGGGGCCGCCCCTCGGGCCCAGGTCGGGGACCCCTCCGCGTGGCAGAGGCCCGCCGCGACCAGGAAGGCCCCTTCGTTCCTCGGCCGGCGATCCCTTGAGGAAGCACGGCGAAGCCTCCTGATGCACACCCTCTGGTCCTTTGACCTCCCCTTCCCTCGCGACGATGACGGACGACGACGACGACGACGACGACGACGACGACGACGACGACGACGACGACGACGACGACGACGACGACGACGACGACTGCGGCGGCGGCGGCGGCGGCGGCGGCCGCGGCGGCGACGACGACGACGACGGCGTCGGTGACGACGACGACGACGACGACGACGGCGTCGGTGACGACGACGACGACGACGACGACGACGACGACGACGGCGACGACGACGACGACGACCGCGGCGACAACGACGACGACGACGACGGCGGCGGCGGCGACGACGACGGCGACGACGACGACGACGACCAGCCCCCCAGAGCGCTGCAGGACTCTCGCCAGCTGTCCGACTACAATCTCGTCGACGGGGTGGGCCCGCTGCCGCTCCCGCGGGGCGGGGAGGGCGGACCGTGCTCCAGGGGTGTGTGGGTGGGTGGGCGGGCGGAAGGGGGAAGCATGAGGAGGAGGAGGAGGAGGAGGAGATGGAGAAGCAAGGGGGGGAGAGGAGGAGGAGGAGGAGGGAGGAGGAGGAGGAGGAGGAGAGAGAGGAGGAGGAGGAGGAGGAGGAGGAGGAGGAGGAGGCAGGGGAGGAGGCAGGGGAGGAGGAGGAGGAGCAGGAGGAGGACGTCCATGCGCTTTCTACAGGGGCAGGAGGAGGATGAGATCAAGCGTACGAGTCGGGGGTGGAAGAGGCGCCGACGGAGGCTGCGAACGGGAAGGAGAAGAGGACGAGGAGGAGGTGAAGGAAGAGGGAGGAGGAAGAGGAGGAGGAACAAGAGGAGGGAGGAGGAGGAAGAGGAGGAGGAGGAGGAGTTGGGTCGAGGAGGATGACGACGAGGGAGGAGGTGGATGCTGTTTAGTTAGCGGCCGCAGGCGAACGCGCCATCGGTGAGTCCAGTCACAAGCGGGGCACGCAGCGACAAATTCACCTAAAGCAACGGGGCGCAGCCTCACCTACAGCGGCTAGGCGGAGCCTCACGCAGCACCTCAGCGGTGCACCAGCGAGTGGAAGGGGCTGGCTGAAACTGAGTCGTACTGCCATCGTGCAAATATGCAAGCGTCGGAAGCGTCAGGTAGCCGAGAGAAGCGGCGACCAGGGACAGATGTCGAGTAATTCATGCAAGGGCGCGAGACCCCAGACGACTGCGAGAGAACCAGGGTGGCCGAAGCCGCCAAGCCCGGCGGCAGCGGAACGCACGAGTACGAGAAGCAGCCAAGCTGCCGCGCGGCCAAAATGGCGCGGGTCGCCACGTACAATTGAGGAGGTAGATACGGGAAGAGTAGGAAAAGGGAGAGGAGGAGGACACGACGGATAAGGAGGAGGCGCAGGAGGAGGAGAGGGGGAATGTGGCGACGACGACGACGACGACGACGACGAGGCGAACGTGGAGGCGGGAGAGCGAGGGGGATTGGTGGAGGTGGGAGGAGAAAAATGAGGAGGAGGAAGGGGCGGAGGGAGGCGGAGGAGGAGGCGGAGGAGGAGGAGGAGGAGGAGGAGGAGGAGGAGGAGCGTCGGCGTCGATGTCGGCGTCGTCTGCGACATCCCCCTTCCTGCACGCAGGGCTGCAGGAGTGCGGCAGGCCCTCCCGTGCCGACCTGAACGGTTTTTGTTACGATTCCGATGGCAGTTTTCATTTCGACTTCGTCTCGCAGCGACGGCGGAACGAAGACAAAGAACGAGGGAACACTGTCTAGGTCGAGCTCTGGTCGAACTTGGCTGCACTTCCCCTCCGATGCTCCCTGGCCCGGTTCTGGTCACCGGGCCCCTCCCGAGGTCTGTCCTGTTTTTTTGCCGAAGCGGATGCAGCCGTAGCGGCGGGAAGTTCCCGGGAGCTAAGTGAGGGAGGGAGAACACCAGGGAGTCACGAGCGACAAGTGCCTCCATATCCACGCCCTCGTGGCATGGCCGCAGGGGCGCGATCCCTTGGATGCGCGCCGGCGCGAAGACGTTCCACACGGGGCAGCCGCGAGCACTCGCCCCGCATCCGCGGGACAGTGTCCCAAGAGGCCTGGCCCGCGAGGCCGCGGATGCGGGTAGGCTTTTCGCACGCGAGGGAGGGCCGGCGTTGTCTCGGCTGGCCCCGCCCTCCTGCCCATGCCGGGCGGGGCCAGGACGAGGGCCCCTCCGTTCCAGATTGGCGGCGCGCACAAGGGGGGTAGGGGGAGGGGGGAAGGCTTCTTAGGAGCTCCCCTGCTTCTTAGAAGGCGCGGGCCTCGTCTGCAAATGTAAGGCCGGCGCCTTCTTCTCAGAAGCAGCCTCCTTCTAAGAAGCCTTCCCCCCTCCCCCTACCCCCCTCTGCGCGCCGCCAACCAGAGCTGTTCCGGAACGCTCTGGGAAGGCCGCGGCACCCGAGACGTCCCCTTGAGCCGCCGGTTCTCCGACATTCTTCACGTGTCTTAGCTGATGGCATCCTCGTCTTGGCTTCGTCACCAGTGGCGGGCTGTTTTTCAATCCCAGGGTTTCTTGAGGGTCGAAGACGACGCTGGGGTGGTGTGGTGTATAATTTGTTCCCCGATGTGCCGGGAACCACCGAAACATGTACACCAGGGTCCCGTATGCACCAGGACCCGCTCTCCAGTGCAAATTCTGATGCAGGGCCGGAAGAAGCGTTCGTGTACAGAGTTCGATTCCCTGCATGCCGCTCCGCTTAAGTCGGGCCTGTTCCCCTACAGGGGGATTTTGGACGAAAAATAAAAGATACCCCTAAAATAATCAAAAATACTCTGAAAATAGGCTGGGGGACTATTTTTTAATATGTTTTGACCTGTTGAGGGTGTTTTTGGGGTATTTGTTTTGTATCTGTTGTCGAACATCCCCCTGTAGCGGGACACGCCCGACATAACGCTCCGCCTTCCCGTCCCCGCCTCTGCCCTAGCGGCCCGCGATGCCTGCTGCTCCGCGCGTCCGCGCGTGCTCTTCTCGTGCTCGGCCCGCGGGCCCTCTCGTGAGGCTTCTCGGCATGGGGGCCGGCGTCGTCGGCTCCGACGGGCACGGAGCCGCGCGGCCAACGGCCGCCACACCTTCGCTGCGCCTTCTCGTGCTCATCAGTGCTCTTCTTCTTCTTCTTCTTATTATTATTCTTATGCTCATTATTATTATTATCATTATTATTTTTCTTGTTCGTCTTATTATTCTTATTTTTCTTATTATTATTCTTATTATTATTGTTATGTTTCTTCTTCTTCTTTCGGCGGTTGGCGAGGGGGGGAAATAAACAGAGGCCCTCTCAGAAGGCGGCGGGACTTCTCATTAGTTCTCGCGCCTTCTGAGAAGCTTTTTCTGTTTTCGGGGAAGGCTTAGACAACTTCCCAGAAGGCTCGGGGACTTCCGAGCCCTTTGAGAAGGCCCGCCCCTTCTCATTTCCCCCCCTCACCCGCCGCCTATTCTTGCTCTGGCTCTGCGCCTGCAGGGCGTTCCTGGCCGCGCGGGGCCTGCGGGGGTCGGAGGCGCGGGCAGATGGCAGGAGTGCCGCCCGCAGGCGAGGACCTGCCCCAGTGGGTCACAGTCGATGGGGGCCCTCCCTCCCCGCACCCCCCCCCCCGTCCTTCCCTCGGCGGCGCGCCGAGGGGGCAGGCCTTCTCAGAAGCGAAGGCCCTCCGGCTTTCTGAGAGCCCCCTTTCTTTTGGTTCCGGGGAAGGCCTCGAGAGCCTCTTTGGAGGCCGCAGGCCTGCTGAGCCTGCTGGGAAGACCTTCCCCCCCGCCTTCGTCCCCTCCTCCTTTCCCCCTGCCCCCCTTCCGCACCCCCATTTTTTGCCCTCCCCCCCCCCTCTCTCCCCTTCCTCCCCCCTTCTCCCCCTTCCCCCCCCTTCTCCTCCCCCCCGCTCTCCCCCCCGACGCCCTCCAGCCCCCCCTCCCACCAGCACATGGTTCGGCAAAAGGCACACCTTGTGACGGAAGAGATAGGCACACAAATCCGCACGACGCGGACTTTTTGATCGAGTGAGCAGAGGGCTACACATATAGCATACCCATTTCGTAAGGCGCGTCATCGTCATCATCATCGTCGTCGTTCTCCTCCTCCTCCTTCTCCTTCTCCTCCTCGTCCTCCTCCTCCCCCTTCTCCTTCTCTTCCTCCTTCTCCTCCTTTTCCTCCTCCTCCTCCTCCTCCTCCTCCTGGTCCTCCTTCTCCTCCTTCTCCTCCTCTCCTTGTCTCAACATCCTCCTCCGCCTCTTCCTCCTCCTCATACTCCTCCTCCTCATCATCATGGGCATCGTCATCATCATCACTATCATGATTCTTGCCATCAACACGGTCACTATGATTATCATTCACGCATCATCAGCATCATCAGCATCATCACCAACCTCTTCATCATTACCAATAGTAATAATCATCGCCATTATCATCAACATCATCATCGTCAGCATCATCACCATCATCACCACATAGTATCAACACTTAGAATCATATCAGTGTTGATACTATTTGATAACGCGTTGTGGTTAGTACTATTATGGTTACCGTACTTTCCATTATTCTTCTTGTAATGGCCTCCGGCCAGTGCCGCCGATCCCGGGGGCTCCAGATTCGGTGATCTTCGCGGCTCTGTGGCCTCCTCCCTCCTCGATTCTTCCGGTCTTTTTTTCTCCCTAGTTCTCGTTATCCTCTGCCTCCCGCTGACCCCCTTTGCGTCACGTGCTCGCTCCCCTCTCCGTCATCGCCCGTCCTCGTTCCCGCTGGGGGGGGGTCTGGAGAGGCCCCAGGGGGAATCCGCAGAGGGTTCCGAGGGTAGGGTCCTGGGGGCGGCAGCGAGTAAGAAAACGCCAGATGGGGGACCGCCCCCCCCCCCTCCCCCCCTTCCCCAGACCCCCCGAAACATCGTGGGGGTGCGCAAATCATTGAGAAAACGCCAGTTGTGGGACCGCCCACCCCTCCCCCCCTTCCCCGGCAAAGCCACCCGGCGACCCCCCCCAAGCAGAGCTGAAGCTCTTGCTTAGGCTCAGAGCTGAAGCTCTTGCTGAGGCCCCTTGTAGTTCACGCGCCGGATCGGCGCATTTTTCATAGTGCCATTATTATTGTCATCGTCCTGGACCTTTTCCTCTTCCTCATTCTCATCCTCATCACAATGCTCACCACCATCATCATCACCATCATTATCATCCACACCATCATCATCATCGTCACCATCAGAATTAGCATCTGCATCATCATCGGCATCCCTCCTGCCTGCGCCCGCCCCCGGGCTCGCCCTCCAAGAGACAGGCGGAGATCGTGCTGGTGCGTCGCCTGCCCGCCGCGTCCGCGGCGAAACTGGCGGGCGCTGGGGATCTCGTCGTTTCCGTGTCATCGTCGTCGTCGTCGTCGTCGTTGTTGGCGTCGTCGCCGTCGTCGGGGAGGGAGAGCGCGGCAGGCGCCTTGCACGCGCCCGCCTGCGAAGATGGCTGGGCCTTAGTGGGCCCTGGAAAAGACAGGGCCGTCTTTTTACCAGTTCCGTTTTGCCGTTTTTTTGCCGGTTCCGACGCCTTTTTTTTACCGGTTCCGTCGCCGTTGTTTTTACCGGTTCCGGCTCCGGTTCCAATCCTGGAGCCATTTTTTTGCCTTTTCCGGTCGCCGTTGTTTTGCTGTTTCCATTTTCAAGGGACATTTTTTTCGAAACGGTGAAAAAACGGCCCTGCCGTTTCCGGGGCCCACAAAGGGCTGGGCGCGGTGATGAGAAGCGGGTTTCCCTTTCGGCCTGGGTCAGGGGCTGCGGTTCGCAGGGTGGAGGGGCTTCAGTTCGAGGGGTTCAAGCGAAGAGGCTTCCCGCGGGTTGGATCCACGTGGCCTCCTGGGTGGGTGCGTGGCAGGAGGGGCGAGGGAGGGGCGTGGTACAGTCGGGGCCCTGAAGAAGGAACCCTTTTCGTTGGGGAGGGGCTCCGTGTTCCTTAGTTGCTTTACAGTGCTCCTTGGGTTTTCCTGAGGTTTTCCATTGAACATCGGAGTTTACTATATGGGAAAAAGTGGCCTCGTTCCTTATTTATCGTTCCTTAGGTCAACCCCCCGACTGTAGGAGGGGCGAGGGAGGTCGAGGGCCAGAGGAGGGGTACCCCCAAGCACAGGAAGCGAGAAACGCATCGATGAGTCGGCGGGTCGGGCGTGGGAGGGCAAGACACCGCCATGTGTTATGTTGCATCCTTGGGGAACCTGGTCTGTCCCGTCGCTGTCCTATCCGCGTCGAATCCGCGCCGAATCCATGCCAAGTCCGCGTCGAGTCCGCATCAAGCATGCGTCGGACACAAGAAAAGACACCAATTTTGGGGACAGGCGAGGTCCCCCGAAGATGCAACGTAACATGTGCACCTGCGTCTGGCTTCTGCCAGGTATCGTGGCCGTCCGAACCGGACATGTAGCCCTGTGGCACCGCTCGGACGTGTGCGTTTTTTCTCGGCGGGAGCCATCGAGGAGCATCCCGGACCATCGAGCAAGGAAAAAGCAAGCACGAAACCGAACAATGCACGGGGAATGGACGTCCGAGATAACGGCAAGAGCCAGCACTGTGGCGAGAGAGCGATTCCTGAATCAAGCGTGGGACAATCGAGTGCGAAACGGCTGCCGGACTGGGCGGCCTAAGGCATCCCCGCCTCCCCTGTGTGACCCTTCTGGTGTTTTGTTTGTTTGTTCCTCTTCTTGCTTGTGTTTCTGACTCCTCCATTACAGCCCTCCCTGGCGAAACGCTATTGAGAACACAGATGCGGTTCCCCCTCTCTCCTTGCGCCTCCTCACCCGATCGCCGACTGCGATGCGACAGTAGCGGCAGGCGCGCTGGGGTCTGCCCCCCCCCCCCCCCCCTGGCGTCGGGAGCCTTGAGACGGTGCTCAATGCAAACGCGGGTCAGCCAGAGCGCCGTATCCTGCAGGAACGATCCTGCAACGCCAAGGATGCAGTGACCTTGGATGGCTCGGGGGAATCTAAGACTCGAGTGCGTGGGAACTCGGGTTTGCCGACGCCGTTTGACGAGCGCATCCTGGATTTTGACGGTCCACTTTTCGTTGGAGGTTTGCAGCGGGTGTTTACGTCAAGTTCCCGATTGGGTCGCGTCATTTTCATGATGCCCCCGTCAGGCCAACCCGAGTCCCCCCGAACCCGAGACTTACGTCTCCCCGATTACCGACTACACGTAAGAGTGACCCTTCGCCGACGTGACCTTTGCTGCGGGGTCACCGGGGTCACCCCGATCGCTGAGCGCGATACGATGGCGGCTGCTTGAGCTTGGATTCGACCCCTTTTGCGCCTGTCACTCTTGCCCAGTGCCACTCCTTGCTTGTGGCCAGGATTCGCGCGCAGGATCCTGTGGAATCTCGCGGGGTCATGCAAAGCCCGCCCGACCGGACCGCGCCCCCCGAGGGTGCCGCGCCTCCCGAGGGTGCCGCGCCCAGCAGATCCCAGACCGCACCCCCCTTGGTGCCGCGCACCAGATGGCCACTCCTTCTGCCTGGAAGGGCCACGTCCTTCGTGCCGCCGGGGGCTGGGAAGATCACCACCCACCAAACCACCCCAACCCAACTCGAAGGCTCAGATTTACCCTCGATTTCCAGAGGGGGGGGGTCGGGAAACATCGAGAAACCACATTCCCCCCCCCCCAACCCGAAATTCGGGTCTTCGGGTTGGGTTGGGGTGGTTTGGTAGGTAGTCAGGAGAGGGTCGGCCCTGCGCTGGCTGGCAGTGCCCCGCCCCCCTGCACGTCGGGAGGGCGTGCGAGGGAGGTCAGCCACGCGCAGCAAGGATGGTCGACTTCCCAAGTAATGTCAGTTTGTGGTTAACAAATGGCGTCCCCCCCGGGGCTGATGAATGCACCGCGCGAAACATTGAGTCGTGTACAGCGGGGCGCGCCAGGGGGTCGTCGCTGGCGCCGCCGAGGGGATCGTGGACCCCCCGGCATGACGGCCTCAAAACGATTGCCTTTTCGTATAGAAGTTGTTATAAGGGTCGTACATACACATCCGAGGCGGATTTTCGTTCCCCCTCTCAGGCGTCGTCGTCGTCGTCGCCGCCGCCGTTGCCTTCGTCATCGCCTTTTTCGTCGTCCTTGTCGTCGTCGGCGTCGCGGCCGTCGTCGTCGTCGCCGTCGTCGTCTTATTCGTCGTCCTTGTCGTCATCATCGTCCTCGTTGTTGTCGTTGTCAGCGTCGTAGTCGTCGTCGTCGTCGTCGCCGTCCGTCCGTCCGTCCGTCGTCGTCGTCGTCGACGTCGTTCTCGTTTTCGTCGTCTTCGTTTTTCGTTCTAGTCGTCGTCGCCGTCGCCGTCGCCGTCGTCGTCGAGTACAGCTGGCCTGCGCCCCCCCCCCCAAAAGGGCATCCGCAGTGCGTCGTCGTCGTCGTCGCGTCGTCGTCGTCGTCGCCGCCGTCGCCGCCGCCGTCGCCGTCGTCGTCGATATCGATTACAGTGGGCCTGCGCAGCACCCCCCCCATAGGGCGGCATCCGCAGTGCGTTGTCGTCGTCGCCGTCCGGCGTCTTCGTCCTTGTCCTCGTCGTCCTCGTCCTCGTCCTCGGTTTCGTCTTCGTCTTCGTCGTCGCAAACGACTACGGAGACCACGGTTGAGGGGGGGAGGAGGACTGCCCGCCTCGCTTGGGTCGCACAAGAGGCTGGGGAAGGAAAGGGGAGTTGCGAAACCTACTTCGCGCACTTGGTTTCGGTCGCCCCGCCGAGGAGCCACTCCTCGATGCACGGCGGCTTTCGGCGCCAGGGGACGTTCGGAAAATCAGCAACGTGAACTGATGCGAGCTACTGGGCAAATCGACGCTTGGCCACGCCCCCCTTTCGTCCAGCCCGCCTTGTTCGCGGGCCCGCGCGGCAGCTGGCGCCCCCCTGGCTGCGGCCAGGGCAAAGGAAGCACATCGGCTCGACCGAAACATGCGAACGAGCGCCGACAGCAGGTCGTTTTCATTTCGAACAGGTGTCGCCCTGACTCACGGTTTTTGCTTCTGCCGCCGTTGCCTCCCGCCCCCTCCTCTCCCCCAGTCTGTGCTGTCAGTCGCCTTCCCGTTGGCGGCTGGGCGTCAGCGATAATCACTGGCGCCGCCGCCGTTGATTTTCAATCTCGCGGGCGCCACGCCGCGATTCGCACGAGCAGGGAAACGATTTCGGATTTGTTAACCACACGTTGACATTCAGGATCATCGACTTCCGAAAGGGTACCCTTAAATCCTTACGTCGCGCATGTTTGCCATCGGCTGTGGGCAGGAAGGTTTCTTAGAATCACCCTTGCTTCGTAAGAGGCCCAGGCCTGATTTGTATAGGCCGATGCATTTAAGAAACATCCCCCCTTTTAGTCCCTTGTGCGCGCCGCAATTTGTCGGTGGCGACGATTCGAGCGGGTGGCCCAACGGCGGGCGTTACGCGCATCCGCCGGGTAGTATCGCCGAATGCGTGGACCGTCGGCGCCACTGGATAACGTGTTTTGTTCCCCCCGGGCTATTCGCACTGATCGTCGTTTCCGAAGTTGACCGGGGAGCGGGAGACGGGGGAGAGAAGCATCGGGACGTTCAGGAAAAGTGCTGCGATGGGCGTAGAAGGTGGGAGATGGGGGAGGTTCGGGGTGGTGGGAGAGATGGGGGGAGTTCAGAGGGAGGGCTCCTCCTTTGGGAGGAGGTGGAGGAGGAGGAGGAAGAGGAGGAGGAGGAGGAGGAGGAGGAAGAGGAGGAGGACGAGGAGGAGGAGGAGGAGGTGAGGTGGAGGAGGAGGAGGAGGAGGAGGAGGAGGAGGAGGAGGAGGGGGAGGAGGAGGAGGAGGAGGAGGAGGAGGAGGAGAGGAGGAGGAGGAGGAGGAGGAGGAGGAGGAGGAGGAGGAGAGAGATAGGGCGAAGCGGCGGGGAGGCGGCCATCTACGGCGAGCGGCGCCCCAGAACTCGTCCAGGTTCCGCCGCAGGCGGCCCGCGCCGTCTGCTTCTTACCGCTTCTGGCGGAGGGCCCCAGGGAGGGCGCGTCGGCGGCTCGACGGTGGATTTCGGATTGATTCTAGGCTGAAGTCAGGCCTGTCCCCCTGCAAGAGGAGCATCCAAACACAGTCAAAACATGGTCAGGGGACGATGTTTGACTATTGTTGCTGACTGTGGTTGAATTTTTGTTGACGGTTGTTTAAATGGTTTGTCCAACATCCGCTTGTAGGAGGAAATGCCCTACCTAAGTCTACGCCTCACAGATGGCGTCCGAGCGGACGGGGGCCAGCAAGGCGTTATCGAACGAGTTCGACAGTGTTTTCTGAAGTTGTAGAGTCCTGGGGCAGCTTCCATCGGCTGCGCCTCGTCTAGGGCGTTGTTCCAGGGGGTGCCCGGATCGTCCCGAACGGCCGATGACAGAGTTATAAGCCATGCGAGGAGCGGGTCCGAGTAGACAGTGTCGTCGGAGGATTGCGCTGCATCGCCGATACGTCGGCGATGCGTCTCGATGTGAATCCTGATTTTACCAACGCCGACGTCGCCGATGCAGCGCCAACGTCGCCGATGCAGCGCCGATGCGGCGCGAACATCCGACCCCATTCACTCGTACCAAATTTGGTGAGGTACCTGCGGATGGCCCGAAGGACGGATGGCCTCAAGCAGTGACGGCTCAGCTTGGGATTGCTTTTCTTACCCTCAGGGCACCTTTCCCCGGGGCCCCATCGTGGAACCGCCGCGTGCCGCCACCAGGGGGGGGGGGCAGGGGAGGAGAGGCGGGACGGGAACGGGGGGAGGTGGGCGCGGGGCGAGGAAGGATAGGAGCAGGGAGGAGGCGAGGCCGGGCTGGAGGGAAGAGAGAGAGAGAGAGAGATCGGAGGGCACCAACTATACACCAACACCGATCTTGGCCAAGGATCACCCTGGGCCCAGGATCGGTGTATATGCCTTCTTGCGCAAGGCAGGAGGGCGTATACACCGATCCTGGGCCCAGGGTGATCCTGGCCAGGATCGGTGTTGGTGTATAGTTGGTGCCTTCCTAAGAGAGGGAGGGTGGGTAAAACAGGGCTAGGATCTGGATAAATCGCTCCAGAGCGTTCCGGAGCGCTCTCAGAGCGTTCCGGAACGCTCTGGAGCGGCCGCGGCGCCCAATACATCCTCCAAACACGCCGATTCTCAGAGATTTCGAGTTATGCCGATCCGATGTTGTCCCGATCTTCGCGTCGTTTTAGTGGGGTTGGACTACCCATGGAGGTGGAGCGAAAAGGGAAATGGAGAGGAAGCCGCAGATGGACGGACGAAGGCCAGGAGCATGTCGGCGGGGGGCACCGGGGGGGAGTCGCGGGGGGCGGGCCTTCCTCGGAGAGTCTCGGGCCTTTGAGAGGTGTTCTAAGCCCTCTCCGAAGAAAGAGACGGCCTTTTCACAGGCTCGCCGCCAAGATGTGGAAGGGAAGGGACGGGAGAGGAAACGCAAAGGGAGATGGGATGAGGGCAAGGAAGCAGAACGGAGAGGAGAGGACACGCTCAAAAGAACAGAGCTCCATGGGCCAGGAGTGGTCATCGAGGCCCCACTCCGGCGCCCGTGTCGGGTGCGGGCGTCAGCATGGGCACGGAGGAAGCGTCGATCGCGCATTGTTTCGCTCCCCTCCATTCTCACTCCGTCCCCCGTCCTCGGGGCTGGTACTCCCTTTGCCCCATCCCTTTCCATCGCCCCCCTAACCCGACTTTCGCCATTCCCCCCTTTCCACCGCCCTTCACCCCCCCGTTCCACCCTGTGCGGTTACCTCCCCCTGCCCCTACCTTCCCTCCCCAGACCCCCTGTCGTCTCCACCCCACTCCGTGCCCCAACCCATATCCGCCCTTCCACGAACTACGCGTGGTGAACACTACTTTCCTCTTTCCCCTCACGCGGTGCGGAAAATGTTCGGTCCTCTCCGCGCGTGTTGTTTCACCTCAGGGCGAAAAGGTGGATTGGAAAGCGAGAGGCTCACCTCACGTCGCACTGTTCGTGCACATCATCAGGAGGGCCATCGGCAAGGTCGCGCCCGACGGAAGCCACGCGCACGACGGGGGGCCACAAGACGTTCGTGGAGTTCTGGACGACCGTGGTGGAGAAGAAACCCCGCAGCAGCTCGGCCTCCTGGTGCTCAACTGCAAGTACAAGAAGGCCTGCGCGGCCAAGGAGGGCGAAGATCATAATATGGAGCGCAATGGAGCTAGTACGATCAACCTGAACGGTCAGGACAGTCAGGCAGCGATGGTGCTGTGGCCGATCCTACAGGACTATCTTTGGGATGCGGAGAAAAGGGGAACATATCCCTGGACCCGCGCCCAAGGGGCCCGACGGAGCGGTGGCTGGCCTCACAGACTAAGTGACTGCGACACTCGAGGAACAAATTCGGCTTCTTCTCGCAGCGGCGGGGAACAACAGTATCTTGCCTGATGCGAATCTTGTTCCCGTATTGAACACGGAGGAGCAGCCGCAAGAGAGTCCGAGAAATGTTGTACCATCGGTGGGCAGTGGTTCTGAACCAGTTACGTTGTCAAGCGGTCCTTCTGTATCGACCTTCTGCATCGTCATCTGGTCCAGGGGCTGGCGCCTCCCGCCGGCTCGAGCTGCCAGTAAATAGTGCGCTCGCAGGCTCGGCTCGCTTGCAGAGCCTAATTCGGCGAGGTGAGGTTCCGAAGGATGTGCTTCAGCAAACGACTGAGGTGCACACTTATATTGACCCAGCCCTCTATCAAGTCCCAGAAATGGTTCATGCCCGCGCTGAGGCTAACAATGGGAGGGGTAGGGGTCGTGGTCGTCGTGGTCGGGGAACCGTGGTTAGGAAAAGCACTCAAAAGTTAATTCGCACCCTGGACGACCTATCGCTGATCCCGCCTCCTTCGACCCTCCTCATCCAATCCCTGTGCAGCAGGCTGCAGGGGCCTCCGCTCGGCCCGTCAGGTTTGTCCGAGAGGGTGCGGAAATTTGAGGTTGGTCCCCCAAGCTGGGCGCCCCCATCCCAGGCCGCGCGCCGACCAGAGGGGGCCGCCTGGTATGGGGCCGCGCGGGCGGTGCCTGACAGGCCTTTTGCGTTCTCGAGCGAGGTCCAGCTGCCGAAGCAACGCGCAACGCCCAGCGATATTTCGATTCACTATCGATTCAGAGTTCCATTGCGATGCCTCGTCCTGTGTTGCCTCCTGTTTTATCCTGCTCATCCGCCACCTCCTTCCCCTCCTCACATCCACTGTTTTGATTGCGCATAGCACGATGGAGCTGTGGTTGGACATCCACGTCGGCCATACCACGCGCCCGCGGAAGTCAAGGAGAACACGTATCCGCCCCGGGAAGGGACGGGAGGGAGGGGTCGGATGTCGGACGTGGCGCGAGCGCCCCGAGCTTGCCCCTTGTGTCCCCTCTCTCTCGGGCATCCATGTCGGTGCCCCGTCCCTGCCCCCCCGTGAAGGCACCACCGCATGTTGGAAGGCCTGCGGGCCTGCAGCACGGAGCCCCGTGCGCGCGCGTGACGTCGCACCCCGCGCGAAGAATAACCTTCCGAGTGGCACACAGGATCTCCCCACCTCCCCAGGGAGCTTCCGGGAATGCCAAAGCCCCCGTTTAGGTCGGGCCTGTCCCTCTACAGGGGGACTTTTCAAACATAGTCAACAAATGGTCTTGGGTTACTCTGATGATTATGTTTTTTTGTTTTTATACACATTTGGGATATTTGTTTAGTATTGTTAATTTTTCGTTCGAAAATCCCTCCCCTGTATGGGGGACACGCCCGACATAAAGCCCCGTTTCAGGAGCCTCAGACAACCGTTTCCAAGGCCCCCCTCGCCGACCCGATCCCCAACCGGCGGCGAGCCCCGAGGGGAAGCGAACGGGGCGGGCCTGGTCATGATGCTCGGAAGTCCCCCGGCCTGCTGAGAAGTTGTTTTGGGCCTTCCCCAAAGATCGGGGGGCCGTTGCGTTCGTGGCCTCGCGCGGCCCCTCTCTCCGCGCGTGGCCTCGCGCGGCCCCTCTCTCCGCGCCCCCCTCTCGCGGCGCCAGGCCGCCCCAGCGAAGCGGCGCCCGGCAGCGCCGCCGCGGAGAAGGCCGCGGCACGCGGCGGGACTGCAGCCGGGGGCGGCCGCGAGGGGGGTGGTTGTGTCTATACAGGGGGGGGAGGAGATCCAGAGGAGGAAAAGGCGCTCCTGCCTCTAGCCTTCTCCCTCGTGCTCCCTTTTTGTTGGGGGGCCTCCCAGGGAGGCCCTCGTCGCCGCCGCTGGATTCGCCCCGAAGTGCTGGTCAGAACGCGTTCTGGGAGAGGTCCAGGGAGCAGCGGTATCGGTTCCTTGTGGTCTCCCCAGGTTAGGGGGGAGATACATTTGTCGGCAATGCGGTGCATCCCTCCGAACCAATTTGGTCGGACCCCATCTAGGAGGCCATCCCCATCCATCGTGTATGTTCCCTCTTTATCGTTTCCCCCCTGAGCATTTCCTCTCTTGATCGTTTCCTTGTTCAAATATTGCGCCAGATTATGCGTGGCATTGGCATGCAGAAGCAGATCGTCGTGCTGGAGGTTCGCACGCCGAGGCTGAAGCGCTGCTGGGACACGTCCTGACCATGCCAGAAGTTCAACAGTGGTTGGCAAGCTGGTTGAGCAAGTTGCTTGCTTAGCGCGACTTGCCGCATGAACGCGGCAGCGGCGGCGAGGCCTTTTGGCCGTCATTGGAGGCGATTCGAGGAGCTCGTCGGGTGGCCGGCGGGATCGGCCGCAGCCCCTGGAGGCTGGCCTGGCACGCCCACGCCGCCGTGGCAACGCGAAGGCGGCCGGGAGCGGCGATCGCAGGTTCGTTTTCCCGCCGGATCCCTCCTGAAAGAGGGATGTTTGCGATCAGTGCTTTGGCGCACCCGTTCTTTCCTGGGCCTCGAACTCGCGCGGCTGCAGGAGGAGTGTGGACGTCAGTCGCAAGTGTGCCTCATCGGCGCGCGATTACCCTGTGTTGCGGAGGCCAGTGCCACATCATTGTATCTCCACGTAGGGAGGCGTGTCAAAGAGGTCTCAGCGGGCGTGTACTTCCTGAGCCATTGTGCGTTGGTGCCTCCAGACACTTCAGTTTTCGGCGCGAGCCTGCTCCGGCCTTGCGCTCCAGCGCGGGCGATAGGAACTCCCAGGGTCAACGTTAGGGGGGAGGGGGCCAAGGGGGGATGAGTTGACCCCAGTCGCCCATTAATCGCCGATGGGGGCCCGATAGCCCGCTCCGCGCAGGACCGTGCGGCTTTGCTCTCGGGGGACCTTGGCGCCGTTCTGTCGGCGACGTGTCACCGATTCCACGTCGATGCCCCCCCCCCCCCGCCCGGAGCCAGTCCCCCCCCGTGCCGTTGCCCCCCTCGAGCTTGCCTTCTGACGGCCACTGCCTGCCCTGCTGGCGCAGCCCAGGGGTGGCCTCTTCCGAGAGTGGGCCTTGAGTGCCCCCGCCACGGTCAGAGCACTTGGCCCCGCCACAGTATAGGTTGACCGCGTTGCACTGCTGCGCCGCCTCCCCCCCCCTTGCTCCATGACCCCTTCTTTCCTCATTATCTGCCCAGGTTCCATGTTTCCCTGGCCCCTTGTGGGTTTCCTCCTCCTCGTCCACCTCCCCCTTTTCCGTCCTCCTCCTCCTCTTGGTCGACGTTGGAGGCTCAGGCACTTTGAGAACCGACGGAGAGATAGGGGCATGGCAGATGGATGGCGATCGCAGTGCTCTCGACATGTGCGTCGATGAAGCGTGTATTCTACAATCCGGTGGCGGCAAATACCACGAATATGCTGGAATAGATATACAGTTTACTAGAGTGGGATGCGTTTGTGTTGACAGGGATTCACGAGTGGATTGGACCAGAGCCGATGAAGAAAACGAGTCGCAGAGACCATACTGCACGGCAGTTCAGGGCAGAGAATGGGAAATTATCAACAAGGCATGTGGTACGACGTTCGTAGTACCCAATGAGATGATGAAAGACAAGGCGTTCCACGCACAGTATTTGCCCCTTGCCCAACTGCAAGGTAGAACGGCGTGGATCAGACTGCGGACGATATCATACGCCGTCACAGCTTTCGCAACATAGTCACCACGAAACACAAGGCACACAGGCAACGCAATGATTTCTCAAGAAAAAGAAGTGGGCAGAGGCGACGACACAGGTGGCGGATTTATTTTCATTGCGGGAGCAGATATCAACAGCCAGGTGGGACTGCACAGGTCTGACAGTAGGGATTTGGTGGTCAGCAGACACAGTTCGGGCAAACATGCAGCAACATTGGGACCAGTGGTCCAGGACGTGGACAGTAACAACAGTACAGCACTCATGGCATTCTGCGTACGTAGCTTGTTATCAGTGGTCACGACGTTCATCGATTGTGCGCCAACCTACTACTGCGTGAAAACTGAAAAAAAGAGGTTATGACGAGCAAGATAGACCACATAGCCATACCGTCGGGGGCCCTACCCGATGTGCGAAGGTGCACAGCATTGAGAGGAGTTGCGAAACAAGCTTTTGCAGATCAAAGCGCGAGGGCACAGAGACCACACCTGGGCTTGGCTATTGGACTGGATCATCACTTTCATTACTCGGGCAGGCGCGGGCAGCACAGAGCAGGCAAGGAGGTGGGCCGCAACATGCTGAAGGAGTGCCTCAGGAAAGGTCTCCTGCGGGCGGAATCCTTGAGCGCGTTCGGCCGCCACCTGCAGGTCGCCCAGTCGCAGCGGCCAGGAGGGGCAATAGCGAGATTCTCTCGGAGTGCGACCCAGGCTGCTGGTTCAGTTCTCCGTGGAGATGAATTAGCGAGGTTTTCTCTGAGTGCAGCCCAGGAGGCGCGTGCCGAACCCCGGGGAAGCGCGCGCGAGGCCCCCTCGGAGTGCATTTCATGGGAAGCATACGGCAGCAGAGGAATGGAGGGAGCTGCAAGAATTCCCAGCAGCTGATCAGTTGTGGAAGAAGAGGAGAAAGGCCCGCAGAAATGCCATGAAGGAAGTATTCCTGATCAAGATGAAGCAGGGGGGGGGGGGGGGGGGCAACGGGGGCGCGCCTTCCTGCTGGCAGAAAGGGTGAAGTTAAGAGCGGGCGCCGTCGAAGTCTGGCACGCTGGAGAAACTGAGGGGGGGGGGGGGGGGGGGGGGGGGGGGGTCAAGAAGGGGCGGGTGCACGTGCAGAATGTGCTCAGCAAGCGCAGGACACATGTTGAGAAACCAACCAGGAAGGACAGACAACTGGCGGGGGGAAGAGAGAGAGAAAGAGAGAGAGAGAGAGAGAGAGAGAGAGAGAGAGAGAGAGAGAGAGAGAGAGAGAGAGAGAGAGAGAGAGAGAGATAGAGAGAGAGAGAGAGAGAGAGAGAGAGAGAGAAAGAGAGGAGAGAGAGAGAGAGAGAGAGAGAGAGAGAGAGAGAGAGAGAGAGAGAGAGAGAGAGAGAGAGAGAGAGAGAGAGAGAGAGAGAGCATAATAAAGAGAAAAGAGAGAAAGGGGAAGAGGACGAGACAGATAAAGAAACATAGAAAGAGAACGAGAGCGAGAAAGAGAGAGAGGGAGAGAGAGAGAGAGAGATGGAAAAAAAAAAAAAAAAAAAAAAAAAAAAAGGGACAACCATAAAAAAGAGAGACAGAGAAAACGAGAGGCGCTGGCAGAGGAGATTTGGAGAGCATGCGAGAACCGCAACTTCATCGAGATGCACGGGCCCAGGGTGGAAGATCAGAGGAATTGTGTGTGTGCGTGTGTGGGGGGGGGGGGGCAATCAAGAGGTGCTATTTCTCACCGCCGACTTGGTGGAGCGCAGAGGAATGGCCCGCATAACTGGGCAGACGCCCCCCCCCCCCTGGGGGGCTGGCAGCCGGGCCGATGGACCTGGGAGGACACGAGAAGGAGCATGGCGAGGTGATCGCAGCAACCGCGCCGCCCTCGCACGACATGGAGTGGGAAGCGCAAGTGGAGAGGGACAAGAGAGACATGCTGATGCACGGCAGGAAAGCGGCAAAGAGGAGGGGTTCCCCCCATTGGGGGGCCCCAGCGCAACTAGCGCAGGTGGTTCTAGAGCCCGCGGTCAACCTGGAAGACCCTGAGTTGCTGCGCAAGAAGCTGGGGGGGCGGGAACCGCGAGCGGCGGAGACGCGGGGCGACGAGGAAGGCATGGACAAGCACAGCTCATTCTACAAGTGTAGCGGGGAAGGTCTATTCTACAGAGGATGGGTTGGACGTCGGGCAGGGCGCCGGGCAGGGCAGGCAGAGACGACGATGGTGAAGCAGGTAGGGCAAGAGAAAAGAAAACGCATTATCTGGGTGGGCGCGAGGAAGCCGGGCGGGGCGCGTCGGTGCCGGGGAAAGAAGCGCGCTGGCATGAAGTGCAAGGGCAAGGTGGAGGACCTCCTCATCAAGTGTCTTCAGTCTCAAGCCAATCCATTGGATTGGCACAGGTCTATCTCCTCCCCAGTGCTCAATGGGAATGGCTTTTCCCAAAGGCGCCCGCGACTCACTCAGAGCGCCGGGGCGCCCGTGCTGGGCGCAGGGGGGCTGAGACATAGATCGAGAGGGCGCGCGATTACCTTCGTCGAAGCTACGCTGCGCAGAGCTCGGCAAGCAGGAGCGAACACTACCCCCCAGCAACTACGACTGCACAGCCGCCCTCGCGAGCACGAAGCGCAACCTCCTGCTGGCGTCAGCTTTCGCCGCGTCGAACGAGGAGGGCCTGCTTTTTGCTGTCGAGACTCTACCAGACACGCCGATGCGCATGCGATGCGCAGATGACTGGCTCCACGCAGCGGCTACGGGAGGTGAGCGAATGAGATTTACCTCGCGCCTGGGGCAGCTCAACGGCACTTGCAACCTTTACGTGGGGCGCTGGCACTAGGAAGGAAGAGAGGGCGGCGATGTGCAGACAATCCGCAATGCAGTGGGCCCCGGCAACGGACCAGAGCACGACCTCTCGCTCGGCGCGTTCATGGGCAACGTCGCCAAGATCCACGCAGCGTTCTCGTTTGGGCCAATTCCATTGGAAACTGGAATTTGCGAGGTAATCTCGGAACGCCAGTTGGGGCCTGGCGATGGCGGGGGATTGCTCGAGACACGCCCGAGCCCCTGGCCC